AGCTCACCTGTTACAGCAGACTGTCTTTTCGCTGCTGTAACCATTAAACTGATTTGTAGTATGTGCACAGATAGATAAAGAGCCATTTAAAAGCTTTGCAGAGCAATTGTGAAATTACTCCTCCCCCCAAATAAATGGTTTAAGGATATTTTCTCAGTGGCAAGCAATTTAAAAGAAAACATGGTAATTACAGTGATTAAAAACCATAACAGGGATGAACCTGACCAATCTCACCGTGCACCAGACCCCCACTATATGACAGCTTTACAACCGCTGACTGGTTGACTGACCTACACTTGATTTACATAAAAGCATGTGATTAGATAAGGTGCTGCTGACGCTAATGGCTGCACCGACCATCCATTTAATGTCCACTAGTCAGTCAATGCCCAGTCCTCAATGACAGCAAATAAAATAATTAAAATATAATAAAAAAGTAGCTCAAAATCCTCACAGAAGGAAAAAGAGGAGTATAAGGAGAGCATAACTGTCTGTAGCAGTATCAGGGCGACAAGCAAACGTTCTTGGTTTTCTCTTAAAAACACTTTATTTTAAAAGATAAAGCACAAATCCAGATTAAAGCATATCTGCAATCATTTCCGCTTGAGTAGTTTCAATGGCAGGCACGAAGCAGGACTTTTTTTTAAAATTTTATTTTGTGGGGCCTGATACTTTGGATTTGAATATTAGCAGCAAGTGTGCAACTCTCTCTCATTTCCATGCCGATGTATGCGTGTGTGGGAGGAAGAGCGAGGAGCAGGAATGGAGGCGGAGAGAGAGAGAGAGACAGAGACAGAAAGTGAAAAAGAAGTGGGAGAGATAGTGAGTGAGTTAGAACTGGAGAGGAAGAGTAATTTTTTTTCCAGAAATAGAGGCAGAGAGATGAGGGAGGAAAACAGCCGGGGGGGGGGGGGGATGAATCCATGGTTGTTTATTTAATCAGAAGTCAGCCTCAGTGATTTGACATTTTTCTTAATCTCTTCAACAAGAATTACAGTCAAATCAGCCTTTGGACCAAAGACACCGACCAGATTAACAACAAATATGTCCACAAACAACACGTGATTAAAGTGTAATACAGTCACGCTACAGCCCTTACTGCAGCAGTGTGTCCATCTGTCTCTCTCTGCATTCACCATGTGCAAAATTGTGCATATGTGTGGGTGTGTTTTAGATGTATTCACTTTATGTGGTCGCAGTCCTTACCTGTTTTTTTTTGCCAGAGACCAGATGCTGAGTCTTTGAGGGAGTTTTACTGCCATTTTCAAAGATGTTTGGCAAGTGAAGACAGGATACAACAGATGTGTGTCTGTCTGTAGCTAAGGTTTGCAGATGGTACATATGCTTTTTTTTTTTCTTACTTAATATTCTTAAGGTAAAGGAAAGTTAACTTTGGGGGGGGTGTATTTGTACATATAGCCATGTGAGGACCATTTTGAGAATAGACCTTACGGAGTGACATTTTGGTAAAGTGAGGACATTTTGTTAAGTGGGGGCATTTTGGGAAAGGAAGACATCTTGGGCAGTCCTCGCTTTTTCAGAGGGTTGGTAAAGTGTAAAGACTTGTGTTAAGGGTTAGGTTTGGATAAGGCATTTAGTTGTGATGTTTTATGTTAGAGTAACAGGCCAGGGACTGCATTATGCCAACGAGTGTCCCCACAAAGATAGAAGTACGTGTGTGTTTGTGTGAAAACAGGCAGTGATGGATGTGGGTGTCGGTTTCCCGTGAGCCAAGACAATGCTGCTAATGAGAACATGTGTGTGGCGCTCTAACGCAGCTTCATCTGTCCATCATGTCTTGAACTCTTGACCTGTTTGACTGGTTGTGCTCAGAGTTCATCTTCTCTTTGAATTCTGAAGGCAGATTGCGGTGTTTCCTACAGTACTGGATTATATTTATAGGAGAAGGTGACTGGCTTTATTTTATAGATAAAGTAAATAGCTTGACAATGTATACAGCTTCATTGCGTCACGCTGTGTGAAATAAATAATGTGTTGGGGTTGGGTCTTATGGTTCATTAGCTTACATTTTGCAATGTGTCAGTGAGCCCACTCACAGTCATGAATGCACCTGGAATGACAGACACTCAGATAGGGTGAGTAAAGTGACATAGAGGGATGGTTAAAACTTTATGGATTTTTTAAAGGTCCACAGGGGGGAAATCATTGTGCAGCTCTGCAGTGAAATAAGATTTATCCCATTTTAATAGTAAAAAGAAGTAGAAAATCAATATGTGGCTGCCAATGTTAATTTGTGGTGGGCCACCACACACACAGCCACACACAATGATATCTTTCCCAAGATGCACTGCACACGAGGCAGGGAAACTCTTAATTGTGTGATGCAAAGATATACACTGGCACACATTGACAGTGGCAGGTAATTCAGAGTCTCCAGCCCATCTGAGCTGCATGTAACACAAACATGCAGGCTCCCAAAGAAACATTTGTCCAGGTCCCTTCGCTCGACTGCCTGCTGTTCAAAGTAGGAGCAAGTTTTCATTTCTACTGGATATTTGAGCACATTTATTTCTACCATGGCAGTGAGCTCACCACCTGGCTGAAACTGCCGCATATGCAGTTTTAATTTAGCTCTGAGGGTCAGGGCGTCAGTAGTAGACCTATTTCAGATGACCTGCAGATCTCATGGGCCAAAATCAACTTTAAATACAGTAAAGTTGAGTCCTTTCTACCTGCGTCTGTACTAATTTGAAGTATATTTTTAAAAAGGGATTGACAGTCGGATGTGTGTTTTTAATAATAAGTAATAAGTAACATGTCATCAGATCCAAGTAGGTGAGGTTGAGGGAAAGCTTAAAGAAGTTAAGTTTGTAATAGGAGAAAGCCTGAAGCTTAAATCACCTCAGTTTGTATGTGACATGAATCAGTAATTACTGGGTCAAATCTCACACTATGGAGGAACTTTAATTAGAGGCAGTAGCTTATCCTGAGCTAGTGATTCTTCCCTAAAGAATATCTCTGTATGCAAAGCAGCTTGCTTTGATTTCACCTTCTCGCTGTGTTGGAGCAGAGATGCTGGGAGCGACCGTCACTGTTTATGTGGGTATTGAGCTGTTTGTTTGATAAACTGTTGGGTAAGCTGTGTGCGTTCGTGAAAAAGAGGCGAGCGTTTGGCTCCAAGCTCGCTTGCAGAGAGGAAATGTCATCAGCAGATTTCTTTGACTGGCGCCGAACCGTCACATCCTCTCTCCCATCCTCTCTTCAGTCCACTTTAGTTCAGTTAGCTTGTCTTTTCAATTTTCTTTTCCTGCTACTGCTCTCCTATTCCTGCGTCCTCTCCTCTCTGCTGTCCCTTTCCTCTCTTGTCCTCCTCTTTGTCCCTCTCCTGTTATCTTCCGCTGTCTTATTTCCTCCTTTCTGGTCCGATGCGCCCGGGACATCGGTGGCGAACAAATGGGACACAGGCCAGAGGAAAAAAAGCCTCAGGTGGGAGAGGGAGATGCTTAGGCAAAATGTCAGCTTATCATTTGTTCTCCCCCTGAATAATGTTTCTGCGAGTCTGTTGTTTTGACGCTCTCCCCTGTGTGGCTTGGTCACGCCGCTTTGAGCCGAAAAAGGTCAACGGGGGTCATTCTCCGTCCAGCTCCCTGTCCCTCCGTCCGCACTTGTTCGCAGCTTTTACTGTCGACACACATGAGACTCCCATGGGGGTTACAGACCAGCACACATACACATACACACAATCACAGAGAGAGCAGGAGGAGCTATAGACAAGGTTGCCATGGTAGCAGGCTGTCCTGTATCTGAACACCTTTATGATATGACATATAAATTGTAAATGTATGCACACCCAGTGGTGGAACAAACAAGCACACACACAAATATTCGATTCAATTTGATTTGTATAGTACCAATTTACAACATATATATATATATATATATATCAACATATTATATGATTCTATGGTCAAGAATTTGTTATTATTATCAAGTTCCTCACTCTTAAAGATCCCTCAAAAGAAAAGGTGCCAGTTTGAAGCTATAATCGTGCATAAAATCTGTCAATGGTTTTGTTTAATGTTCAAAACTTTGGCAAGTACTGTCTCCCGGCTTGAATGCATTACATTCACCTTTATATTAACAGAAGTGGGTCTCGATGTAGCTGCTGCAGACAAATAGCAGTCTAAAAAAATCAGAAGCAGAAGGTGCAAGTGGTGAGATATTTCCTCCAGCTTCATTTTGGCTCTTGCGGCGTAACAAAATGCACATATAAAAGTGGGATGATGAGCAGAACCTACTGAAAAACATTTTCCAAATGGCATTTTTTGATTCTTCACCCAATGATCAACAACTCTATTGAAGAATTAGAAGCCTCTAGAGTTTCTTTTACTTTGTTTTTTAAATGTACAAGAGTAAATACACCTATAAAGGGGCAAGCATGAAAAAAGCTTTCTCCATTTTTCTCATTTGTCCGGCTTTGCCAGGGCATTTTCTCCTGCACAAGTACAGAAATATAATGCTAACACATGCAGGGTGTTGAACTGAAGCTTTGAGGGCCTGACACTGACAGTAAGTGATCCAAGGGTCTCACTGCAAATAGGTTTCCACACTCTAACAGCCCCATGCTTTTATGAAATATGACGTGAAATATTACATGAGCAGCTTTTCCTATCATCTTTTTTTTTTAAAGGGTTATTTGTACGGGAAAAAAACCTTATAATGAGATTTGGAGTTAATCCATCTGTTCTTTGAGAAAGATGTTAGTGTCTGTGTTCACTGACTCTGATCCAGTCTGTTTTTATCTGCTATTTGCTTAATGCTGTTCATGTAAAATCTCTTTGATCGTTGCTGGTACATTCACTCAGTCCAAACTAGTTTAGATGTCTGCAGACGCTGTTTTATTAGTGTTTGCTTTTGTTTCTCTTTATTTTTTCCTCTTCTACATTATTTACATTAACACTCACTGATTGCTGCCTGCAACATCCAAATATACGTTGTGATAAAACTTGATTTTTCCTTCTCTCTGTTGGTCTTCTCAGCATTTATCAGAGCTGTTGGCGGTGGTGCGTCTTCCTTTCATCCACCCGTCCTACCTGCTGAACGTGGTGGACAATGAGGAGCTGATCAAGTCGTCGGAGGCGTGTCGCGATCTGGTCAACGAAGCCAAGCGTTACCACATGCTGCCCCACGCGCGGCAGGAGATGCAGACGCCCAGGACTCGGCCAAGACTTTCTGCTGGTAAACACACACTCATTACATATAAGATGATGAAGATCTTTAGCCTGGGTGACAGTAGAACAAGGTAAGTTCATCTACCAGTGTAATTGAGCCACTTATTAGAGCTCTTTTCACGACAACACAGAGGCAAGTCGGTTCTTTGAAATCAAAGTCCAAACACGATATTCCAAATACAAAACATCTCAATAAATTATAAGGCATGTCCCATTAAAATAAAAGTGAACACTGTGATGCTCAGCCAGACGTGATGCAACAGGACTTTTTACTGGTTCAATTCATTAATAATTAATAATAATTAATACCTCGTTGGCCGCTTGGCGTGAAAAGAAGTTCTTGAAAAGTCCCTTGAAACTGTACTTCAGACCTTAAAAAAATTGAAATGAATGAAAGTAGCAGGTCATCATGGCAGTGAGTCCAAATGAACTTCAAACAACAAAACATTACTTTCAGGCAAGTAATATACAATATGAGCAAGTGTAATTACAACATTTCAGTAATTAAAATGATCATTTTACCTGTTAAACATCAGATTTGAATATGTCATTTTAAACATAAATCAAAATTGATCATTAATCTATTTTAATGTTTATCGTGTAAAATTCTGATGTTTAAATTGTTGCTTGATAATCATTTATCAATGTATCATGAGCTCAGACAATTTATGTAACTGTGTTTATGCATCCATAAACAACCATCCTCTATTTATAATATTGGAGGTGATACAGTGGTGAAGGCGTTCCTGACTTTCCATTGCAGTGAATTCATTTGAGCCCACAGCTGGAAACCAAGGGCTTAGAACTCCATGAAGTTTTCCAAACAATGTACAAGAGGGTAGTATTTCCAGATGACCATTTTTTACTTTCCACTATCAAACAACTGTTCATCTAGAGCCAAGAATGACAGAGGCTACCACGAAAGCTGAAAGTTGCCAACCAGAACATTGGCTTCCTGTGGTTTCTGTGTGCTACCGAGCTCTTTTACAGCAATCATGTAAACATCTCCTGTAACAACTTCTGAACACCAGCGAAGGCAGAGTCGGGTCTGTCCTAGCTTTCTGAGCAACCCAGCCAACCGTCCCCTGTCCAACTGCCACCGATGTCCAAGCCATTGAAGAGCCATGTTTGTTTACATCGTTAAAATCAAAGAATCATTCATGGCAATTGGAAGGCGCCTGCAAATTGCTTTTGGCCGTTAATTTTTTTCCTTCAGGTCGGCCAGGGACCTCGTCTTTCCCCCTGTAAAGAGCTGCCTAATTGCAGTGTCTGCACAGCGTTATGAGCCTCGCACCAGCACACCTTACCATTCAGCACAAGTATTTTTCTGCTCGGTAGAATAAAGATAATTGCCTAACAAATGGCACTCTATGCAGAGGTCAGTTTACCAGCCAGCTCTTGTTGTCCAGCCACTGTGTCTGTTTGGGAGTAAACAAACACTGGGGGAATTGTGTTAGGTTCATATTTTTGCATTCTTAATTGCCTTTAATGCAGTCGCAGGAGGGTTTCTAAAGAGTCATTTGCCTCTCGAGAATAGACATTTGTGGCTTTACATGCACACAGCGTTGTCCCATTACTCATCCTCGATCCAGTGGTTTCTCTTTGTTCTCAGCAGTTTTCTCCAAGCGCTTTCTGCCAAGGCCCATTTTATAGTGTTTGGTATGTGCATATCATATACGTCCTACAGCTCCATTATGCAGGCTGAAGTGAGTATTGATTCACAGCAGCTTGTGGGTCTGTACAACAGAATTATATAAATGCATAAATGCTGCTGGGATGAATACATTCATGATGCATTATACCCCGATGGCTCAGGGAATGAGAAATATATGTAAGTTTTCCACATCAAGTTTTGAACTCCTGAAGCTGAAGTTGTTATTAAGACTGGCAAAGTGTGCTGAGGGTTTTAGTAGTGTGTTTGTGTGTCTATTTCATGAGGTGGAAAAATGTGTGTGTGCTGATTTTTTGTTCAGATAAATAAGAACGTACTTCAGCATTTTGTTTAGTTGTGTGTATTCCTGAAGGCCTGAGTATGTTTTTTTTTTCATGCCTGAGCATGCATGTGCGTGTCGGCCGTCGTAATTGTTTGTGTGCATGCATGTGTTGCTCAGCCATCTGCTGCATTGGACAGGATGCGCTCTGCACAGCAGGGTGCACAGTCACTGGGACTGCAGGCTAGACGTCGGGGACTAGCACGTGGACATGCAGGACAGTGAGGAAGATTAAATAAAAACTGGGTGGAGACCGCGAGGTTGCTGCACAATGTGGTCACCGTGTAGAGGACAAGAAAGTGACAGGACGTGGTTGAACAAGAGGAGAGGTTGGGAAGTGGTCAGAGGGAGCGAGGCGGAGAGGGAGCTGCGGGGATTCGGAAATGAAGTTTGAAGGGCAGACGTTTGATTGAGTTTATTCCTGGAGCTTGTGTCTACTTGTGTAAGCAGTAAGTGAGCATGTGGGTGTGCGTGTTTGTGTGTGGATATTTTAAATGTGCGCAAGCAGATGGGGCACCACCTGAGCTCGGTTGATAAGTCTGTCAGGCGGAAAAAAGAAAGGAAAACTGCCATCCGTGAAGCACTTCTTGCTGAGCGCAGTCAATCTGTGAACTTGTGAGTTGCGTGCATATGTGAATGTATTATAGTGGGTGTGTTTGTGCTCGTGCAGTGTGTGTATGTGTGGACACGTATTTAAAGTGACTCAAACGTTCAGTCATTTTGTGATAAATTAAAGTATTCCTTTTTTTGTGAGCCAGAATTTAAACTAACACTCCTTTACTTTTAAAATGAAATCTTTTAGTCCAGTAATAGAAGTTAAAGTACATATAAATATATATTAATACTTGAACATTGAAGCGAGTATCAGTGTTTGTAATAGCAGTAGTTTAAAGAGCAACTTGCAGGTTATAGATAGCAGTGAATCAGTGTGTAGGAAACTGATGTTGAAAACAGATTTTCATTGTTGTTCATTGTTCATTCACATTAATTAGAATAATAAAAACTACAATGGCACTCAGTAGTGAACATACCTCCGCCAAGGCCCAACAGTTCCCTTTAGTTTAATCAAGCTTCACCACTCCACCACTCATAGATATCAGTTCCCCTAAATATGCCTTTTCATCTGAATCCATGAATTATTCCCTGGGAAATTGTGAAAATGTTTAAAAGCGCCTTTACTGAATGTTAGAGACAGAGAAAAAAATAATTGTTGGATCTGCCCCCTGATCTAGATCTGCATCAAATTTTTTTCTTCCCCGAGTCATAGTGTGCTTCCACCAAGGTTTGTGGAAATCTGCTCAGTCTTTTTTGTGTAATCCTGCTAACAAGAGGACCATAAATTGCAGGATGGAGTATATTGGTGGATGAGGTCAGACAGGTACTAGTGGACAACTACATTCTTTGATATTCAGAGGTGTTAGAAGGTGGATTTTGTTGACTTCACACAGAACCATGCTCAGTGTCCCCTCCCTTCGTCTTCAGTCTTTGTCAAAGCTAAGCCACGGATCAAGGCTGCTGGCTATTCTTTTATATCGTACACAGTTAAAAAAAAACATGTTGTGAAACTGTTCTTTTGAGGAGAACTGTGCAGAACATTTAACTTTTGAAAAGTAAAGTTGTCAGTTCTTTCATAACAGTGGTACTGTGTATATAACCCTATACCCTACAACATTCAACAAAGGACAAGGACAACATGTAGTGGGCGGCCATTTATGTGCTGTTATCTCTACAGTGTGTGAATGGTGTGTGATAGAAAAAAGTGCTGTATATTGAAGCACTGTATTGTGCTGTATTGTAAATGGCTTTCAGTGGCTGATTACACCATAAAGCTCTTTATGAAATACAGTGTGTTTACATATTTGTGTTTCACTGAAATAGGCAGTGACATATAATTACGTAAAGTTGTTACAGCAATTGGCCAATTTTCTCATCCAGCAGACCCAAAGCAATAGCATTCATTTAAGTCAACTGACTAATATGCTGTGTTTCTAATATTGACTCTGCTTTTATCCCTGTTTTGTTTTCACCAGCTCCTGAGGGAAATATCTGTTGGTTTTAGCTGCTGAACGTTCCACTGTGTTACCATCCAGTCGTAAACTTTGTCTGACTGCCACTTGGTGCTGGGCAGGTACCAGTGCAGTGGGTGTAAAGAGTTTGTTTTTGCAGAAAAGTGTTCCCTGCTGCTGCTGGAGAGAAACAATGCTGCTGATAAATAGGTGGGAGTGAATTTAAAACAGTAAAGTAATGGGATGTAAAACCAAACCAATTAGTTAGAAATAAACTGCTTAAAGTCTCTGTAGAGCTGTAAGTGCAGAGTCTGCAATCATGGATTCTTTACTACAGTGGCACCCTTTACATTACATCAAATTACATGTCATCTTTTTATCCAATATAGAAATAATGACTAAAGCGGCTTTAAGTATTTTATTATGATTATGGTAAAAATGTGTGTGAAAATCTCTTTTTTATCTTTAATCTCTTGTATCACATCAAGGATAAGAAAGCTATGAATATTAATATCAATGGCCTATGAATTCACACCCTTCAATGTGTTCAGGATTGGTATGAAAAATGTTTTTATCCAACAAAAAAGACTGACGTTTAATGAGCCATTGCTCCATTAGCTGTAAGCCCTAAAAACAGAATTTCTATTAGAGCTGAATAGAAGCATTTTCCACACACCCGTTAACTGTCTTGTTTGCTCAGGTTTTTCCTTGAATTGAATCCCGCTGTGCTGCATTGTTGTAACTTCTTTCTTTCCTTAATTGCCCAGTTTTTATTGATTGTTAATTTTTATATCACACGCTCTGAAAGGTCCTGCCATGTCACCGTGCACTGTGTGCTCCTGTGCAGAGTTAATGGAACTAGCATCAAAATGAGCTGTATAACGATGCTGGACAACATCTGCACAAATCTGTTTTTCTCTCAGAATTACGAGACGGCAAGAGTCATAAAAGTCTAACCACCGTGACATAAAGTTTATTTTTGCGTCGCCTCGCTGACTGGAAATGAGACA